TTCTAGTCTCTTTGATTAAAAAATGGCTCTCTTGTTGACCTTCACACCTGCTGCAGCTCCAGCAGGTCCACTGAAACACAACAACTTGATAAATAAATGCCTGCTACACCAACTGCTGACAAGACATAATCACATCTTTGTGACGAGGACCGGAGCGGCACAGTCTCTGGAGTGCTGCTGTAGTAAAACACACACACACACACACACTCTGCAGAGTCACACTCGTACATTATGTTATTTGACGTTGCTTGTGTGTATGTTCCCACCTCTGTGACCCTCAGAGTAATATCTCAACAACAATCTGACCGCCTGGCAGTTTTAGGTGTCATAACTCTGCAGCTATTGGATTTTTTTCAGTGATTGAATAATTTAGCTTGGACAGTGGAACCAAATTTTGGGAGTCAGCACAGATCAGCTATTTTAAAAGTATAATCCTGTGATGTAAAGTGCCAATCTAGTCCTTCATATCACACTTTAATGTTGGATTTTTGTCAGGGATCATTAGCCTTCTGCCCGGAGGCATCCAAAGACAACAGAGAAAGTTCTTAATGTATTCACCCACCGTCGCTCTGCCACTGTGATACTACACACATGTTTATTTTCAAGGCTGTTTCATTTGTATAGAGGCAATTGGTGTAGTTTGTCACCGTGCCGGTGTTTTATCTGCAATTATGTATGTACAGTTGCAGCTGCACACACACCTTAGATCCGTCACAGATACTTGACGTCTCTTTTTTCCTTTGACGACTGTGACTTCCGATGTGGCAAGCCATTTCTGTTGTCACTCTCAGTTAGAGCCCAGGTTTCTCCGTGCACTGCCGCACATTTCCCAGCACCACTAATTGCTTCTATAGCGCATAACCTGTCCAGCTGACATTTATGCAAAACAACAAGCCCAGTGTGCATGCATGATAATTAAAACGTGTGCACCACAGAGCTTTCTGACAACTCCTCCATTCTCCACTGACACCCGCTGGGAGGAGTTTTATTTTTAGTTCTCTCTCTTCTCTTCTAGTCTCTTTGATTAAAAAATGGCTCTCTTGTTGACCTTCACACCTGCTGCAGCTCCAGCAGGTCCACTGAAACACAACAACTTGATAAATAAATGCCTGCTACACCAACTGCTGACAAGACATAATCACATCTTTGTGACGAGGACCGGAGCGGCACAGTCTCTGGAGTGCTGCTGTAGTAAAACACACACACACACACACACTCTGCAGAGTCACACTCGTACATTATGTTATTTGACGTTGCTTGTGTGTATGTTCCCACCTCTGTGACCCTCAGAGTAATATCTCAACAACAATCTGACCGCCTGGCAGTTTTAGGTGTCATAACTCTGCAGCTATTGGATGGATAGCCATAAAAATGGAACAGGCATACATATATGTAAATATATATATATATATATATATATATATAGTTGATAATCATTACTGTGATTAATAAATATTCCTTATATAAATACAATACATGAGAGTTATATAAACATGAAGTATATCTTCATTCGATAAGTCAGGCAGGACAGGGACGGAAACAGAGTTTGCTTTATCTTTGTGTGGAAAGAAATCAGGCAATAAAACCGGAACAGTCATAAAGAACAGTCCGACAGACAGCTGATGGATGAATGGAGAGGAATATTGATTTGCCCAGAGTAAAGGAGTAATTGACATATGATAGATGGATGAAAAAAATGAGGCAAATCTGCCAGAAACAGTTCAAGGAGACTGACCTTCTGCATCTGGCTAAGCATTTGTTGGTGTCTTCATTACCTTAATGGATGAACGTTGGACAGAAACGTGTCCAGATGAAATAAGGATACAGTCACTCCAATTTTCCCGAAGGCTGAGAACATTTGTGTTTTAACTATGCTTTTGATTTTATTAGAGTTTTATGACTTTTCAACACTGGAAATCACCCGGCGTTCTTGTACTGAGAGTTGTGAATTCAGGTTTTTTCTTTATGTATTTAATAAATGAATTTGTGGGTTTTTTGTGATGTTTGTAGCTAAAAGAGAGTTAAATCAGTTGTGGGGTCCAGGCAATAACAGAAAGAAAATAGCCAGATATAATGACTAAAAGCTCAGAATAAGTCAAACTTTTCTCAAACCATTTTAAAAATGCAAAACCGTAGTATTCACTGTGGCTGTGTTACAGCTCCACATCATATTGTGTTTTCAGCATCAGTAACTGCACAGTTTCACCACACTGACATCTCATCTTGCACAACTGTCACCTCCGTCCATATAAATGTCAGAGAACAAAAATATGATGTCACCATTTATTTCTCATCTATTTCACCCCCAAATATGACGTTCTGGAAATAACCGCGGGGAGAAGGAGAGGCGGCTGCCTGATGAGTGTTGTGTTTGTCTGGCTCTGTAATCATATAACAATAATGCTGTACTTGTTGATGCAGCCTCTCCACTCTGCTCTTACGGAACATAAATGTCATGGCTGTTTTACATGTGGATGGGAAATGCTAATGAGATCACTGACAGCAGGCAAATTAAGCAGCCCCCCCCACACACACACATCCCCCCACCCCCTGATGACCTGTTGTATGTGTGTCTGACAAAGGTTAGCAGTGCTTGTACGAACAAAGGTCGTCGTTGTCATCTGACCTCATTAGCATGCGGAGGGTCATCTCCTGTTCGGAAGGTGCTACAACATCCAGCTCTGTCATAAAATCAATACTCCATCTTTGTAAGGTTTTACCAATAACTCAAACTCGCCTTTGTCACAAACCTGGCTTCAAGGACTGACTCTTAAAAATTATTTACCACATGAAATGCCTGGTGTGTTTGATGTTGGGGCAGATATCAGACACCATGTATATACAGTTTCTGGCCTCCTTTAGTACATAGAGAGGACCGGTATCCCCTGTTCTAGACAGCACGCTGTGTTTGTTTGTTCTGTGCACACCCGTCCCATCTGAGAACACGGTTCAGGGCGAGGGGAAGAATGTGTTAAAATGATTTCTGCTTGTTTTTGCAGGGAGCACGCCAACAAGATGCAGTGAACAGATGTTTCCAGAACTCAAAACAAGGATGAACGCACTACTACGTACACAAACGGACCTGGAAGATCTCTCCAAAGAAAGAAAATCATAGTATATTTCTCATGATTATTTATCTTCCCTTGTTGACATTTGACACTTTAAACACAACTGCTTTACAAAACCAACAAAATCAATGAGCAGGCGACTCGTCTCCAAATTTCCTCCAGTTAACGTTGACTTTATTCCAAACACAAGAGATGACCCTACTCAGTCAGCTGTCAATCATATCCCACCTTCTTCATATTTCCTCACTTTGTCACTTCTTCAGTGGATGAAGAAACAGACAGAAGGACTGTAGTACCTGGAGAAAACCCATGTATATAAATATATATTCATATCTCACCTGATGATCGAATCGTGGCAAGACCCTAGAAAAGAAACTATAGAACAATAAATGAATGAATATTTAGATTCAAACACAAACAGAAACCTGTGGCTGTGGATATCTGTAGAGAGGCCTCAGATGAACCCTGCAGATTTGTTTTTGTTCAGGAATCATTGTTATCGATGAATCCTGCTCAGAAACATCTCTTTATGATGTGAACATTTCAACTGTCGTGCCCTTTGCAATTGAACAGTGATTATTTTCTCTGTCATCTGCTTCGATGTCCAATAAATCACTTGCTTCTTCATCAGCAGTTTGTGCTCAGTTTCCTTAAACCTTTACTTTTTTGCCATTAATCTTCCTCCAGAATGAAGCTTTTGACCTTGGAAACACAGGAACTAATCAAAGTCATCTGTTCAGGGTCTTGTAATTCTTCCAAACATTCAGATTAAGGTTGTTGGGGAATCAATAAAAACATGTACACTACATTGATGAATCAACTTCAAGGTCCTGTGGAAATGAAGCTGAATAAACTCCCTCTGAACCTTTGACAGAGAAACTGAAATGATTTCATTTTTATTTGGTCTCCCAGTGATTCTATTCTCTCATTAGGCATCGATGAGTTGTTTTTTTTAAATAACATTTCTACTGACAGTCCAACTGTGGTCACTTGTTGCCACGTCACTCACACATAACTGAGTAGTTTAACCCAAAACTCCGGCTTTATTGGCTGTATGTAAATGAAGGTGCAGTTCACTCCATAAAACCCTGCAGAATATCAACTACTGTATGTAAACTTGTCAATACATCATTTCTGTTTAGTGTCACATAAATCTCAGGAAAAAGCAGCAATCACTCTACTTCAGGAGCAGGAACCAGTGACTTTCAACTGTGTGTCTGACAGATGCGTCTCTGCTGCTGAAAAGGCCTTTGATAATGAATTAATGCCTGTGTGAATGAGCAGACGGCGCTGCTTCAATGGGACGCTTTCGGGATGGTTTCTTTCATTCCCATCCTCCCAACTTCGGGCTCATCAATAGCTTAGGTGTTTTCCGGTTTTGAAACTGAACCCCAGATTGAATCCAACAGCACATTAATCTTGACTCTTCAGGGTCAGCTTCCTGTTCTCTTATAAATGTGCCCAGCCCAGGGATGTGTCACTTCATTGCCTTTGTCCATGCATGTGCAGTGACCCTGGAGCATCAGCAATGTCTAATGCTCAGACTGGAGATGTATTTGTGTCAGATTAGACAGTGTGAAGAGAGAAGAAAGAAGGTGTGAGGAGGAGGAGAGGCGGGGGCGGACTGCAGTCTGTTCCATGATAAACTCATCCAGCTGCAGGAAGGGGGATTAGAGCGTCTGTCTTACACAACCGTCTTGAATGAACCCTGAGAATCCACATCCACACCAGAACGAATGGTTCCACCAGAGCATGCCTGACACCTGTCAGGACCATTCTTACCTTCATTTTCGACACTTGGGTGCTGGAAGAAAAGCTGTGTTCACGCCTAACAAGTACATTGCATCCCCCCCCCCCCAAAAAAAAAACAACAACAAGGAACTAACAATGAGACACAAACAGAATTCCAACCACATGACCAAGCTCGTCGTGGTCTCCTTGTGGCCATATCTGACACTTTGCAGGATGGCACTGGTGGGGGAGAGGGCACTGTCACCTTGGATTAAAGCATCCTTTTAAAATAATGCCTCTTTGCATGCCATTCTGTTTGAGGAGAGATTAAACACACGCATTAGGCCTTTTGTGCACCAAGAGCCTCAGTGCAGTGAACAGTTGCAACCATGTCTTCTCTTCTCTTTCATGTAAGCGTTGCATCTCATTTAATAATAAAAATTCAAAAGAAGAATTGGGATCAAAGAGAGTGTCTTTTGTGCTAACTCGTATGCATTCAGCTTGTAATGCACAGCGTCATACTGTCGGCGTGTGAGGATGGAAATGGAGCTTTGTGAATAAGCATGAGGGCGAGCAGTTCAACCAAAGAGTGCTGAGTTCTTTCCATCTGAACAGATTGTGAGCATCAGGCGCTGGGGTTAATACACCGTGTATTGTTGTTTCCCAGTCAGCATGTCCATATGTACAGTATTTACACACTCTTTTCCCCCTTTGATTATTTAAATATCTAAATATCTTATTTAAAGACTTATCCACGTTGGTAAAGCTCTGACTTTGGCCTCCTCCTGATTGAAGCAGGTTCTTCTTCCTACAGCCAACTTCTGCAACTTCGTCCTTATTAATAATAATTCATCAAAGTCGCAGAAAAGAGAGACTACCTAACCACTCACACCTGTGGTCAGTTCAGTCTTACCCATTAACTTTGTACTGCATGTTTCCCTCCCCCTCCGCCCCCCCCCTCACCCCATACACAGACAGCCACACAGGAAGAGCCTGGGTTTAAGAGTAGGAAGCAGAGCAGTGATCTTCTTGCTGTAGGGCATGTGAACAGACCACTCTTGCACCGCGTGAGCCTTTTCTTGCTTCTATTCTTTAGACTTGATTCGATTGTTGTCCATGTTGATAATTGAAAGGAGTGATTGAACACGTTTTTTCTAATGATTGATTCAAATCCGTGCTAATTGTTACCAATCAGAGGCTTGAGTGAAACATATATCGGTTGTCTTCTAGAGTTGGACTTGTGTAAACATCTTCCTCCCCCTGGAGGATGCCTGACTTCACACTGGGACCATCTGTTCCTCCTAGCCCGCAGCCAAACGTGTTCACTCTGGGCTCTCGGATGAAATGGAAGCAAAACTGTTGACAGCCTCATCCTCATCCTCCTCATCCTCATCGCCCTTCTTCCTTTTCTTTAATGAGCTGGTCTCTTCGTGCCAGTGACGCGCACGGATCCAGGGATCTCTACCTCTCCAAGCCCGGACTCGTCCTTTAACTTTCTCGCCGCAGTGTGGCACGATGCTGAATAACAGAGCAGTAAAACGCTGTGCTGTTGGAGGCTGTTGCATAATTAAATGCATCGAACGACAGACTAAGCGACCGACTGACTGACTGACTGACTGACTGAGCCACTGAGTGACTTCGTTTTCAGTCGCGTCGCATTTAAGTAGCACAACCGTGGGCGGCGCGTCGAGGAGACGGTCCATGTACTGCACCGTCACGCACGCAGCTCCACGCCACACACTAGTGGGAGGGGGGTCAGCAGAAGCCTGGTGTGAGGCAGTAGGGGTAGGAAGCATAGCTGTGGGTGTCCTGTGACAGAAACCACGCGTGTAAGTAAGTGTTTTGGTGCGGTGCCAGACTGCTTCAAGGCGGCGGCAGAGGGAGCGCGTCTCCCCAAGGTGGAATCTGAGGGAGCACGACGGACGACAGGGAGAGTTTATCAATCCAGGAGGAAACTACAGGAATGTGTTTTTACCACATAGCAGTGAAGGAACATCTGATCTGAGGTCGCCTGGACACCTCGTATGGAGACTTTGATTGACCGCTTTACGCGCATTCCCGCCTGAAATTTCCACGCTCATCCCCGGCACCGGCAACAGTTCAGCTCCTGTCATAACTCACACAGGATACAGTCTCTCTCTGAAGACTCCGCCAGCGCAGAAAATTATTTTAAGAAGTCATAAAAATCCACTCCCATTAGTTTAAATGGATCACGTGGATCACAAGATGTGAAAAAGAAGAAAGGCTGGAAATGCATCGCAACTGCTTGTTTCTGCTGGAGGTGAGTCTCTCTTCTCTACCTGCGGTTGCGGTGGTGTTTATTCGGAGTAGTTTGATCAAACCAAGCAGAGCCGTGTGAATCCTGTGGATTAGGATTAGGAGTGTCATTTGGATTGTTTAGGAATTGAACAGCATCACCATCTCCCCGTGTCAGTTCGGTGTGTTGTCTCCATCAGTAGCCTCCACGGGCATTTGGAGAAGCAGGTGCTCCAGTGGAGGAGCCACAGGGAAGGCTTCTCCTTTGAGGGATTTCAATAGTTCAAATGCAACGAAGAGTTTTATCGACAGTGGGATAAATTCATTAATTGAGGAAAAAAATTAAACGTCAAAAGTCATTTGGCCCATAAAATGCCGAAAACTGGTCAGTATTGATATATTGTATATCAGTTTTGTTTAGGAAATCTGTGCAGTCATTTAAATGTTCACACACTCATGCAGGTGCACTGTATATACCTCTGACTTTTTAAAATGTGCTTTTGAGGGAACACCGACAGTTTACTAAAATGTTTCTGATTATTATTCTGTACAGGAATAAATCAATGGAAATGCATCCAAAATCAGTCATTTCTGGTAAACACTGCTGTGCATTTTAACCCTGTTAGAATGTACAGTATGTTCTTGAAATAACTGACAGAAAGGTTTCATTAATAATTGTATCACCGTACTCTGCTAGCCGTACGCTCCTATGACACACTCCAGTGGTTGACACCGGACACAGGAGCATCTTTGCTTGTTGATCACAATCCAGTCCTACCAGGGCTGGGATTTAAACCGTAAATCAAGTCCAATCCTTTAACCACCAGGATTATTTCTATCTTAGTGATTAAATAAATGGCAACTGGGTTCTTTTGAATAGAGGATATTGTCGCCCACGTCAACTCACCCAGAGCTGTAACTTGATTTAAAATACCCTTCACTGAATGAAGTAAATGTGCCCTTTATGCAATACCTTCATGCCCCCCTTGGGCGGCCAGACCCCTACCTTGGGAACCACTTGATTAAATGGTGAGGAAACAGTTGTTAGCTGCAGTTTACTTTATTATTGCTGCCTGTTTCCTAAAACATTTGCTTTTCACTGAAGCTGCTAAAACCAGTGCCAATGTTATTTGGAATAGGATGGTTTTTTTTTTTCAATGTAGAAAGCACTTCAGGATCTAAGCTTTCTTATTTACTCAGTTTTGGACCAGTACTTGGATAAAACGGGGGCTGCGGACCCCCAGAGGTTTGTAACCACGATGCTCTTCCATCGGCTCATTATTTACTTCATCTTTTTTAGAAATGTCCAATAAACCTGAAGATTAAAGTGTGTGGTATTCTCAGACGTGTATAAAGCTATACACTTAAGAGATGTTTCCCTCTGCAAATCTGTGACTGGTAATGATATCAATGTTAAAGAAATGCTGCAGCTGCCAATGTCTGTCTGAGCCATCTAATCAGTCATTATTAATCATTGGTGCACATCAATTTGCTGCTGTCTGGGATTTCAAATGTTAATGCAGGCTAAAAAATGGGTATGGGACATTGGGTATTGTGTTAAAAAAGGGCTGCAATTCTCTGCCTTTCATTTCAGATCCAACTGATGCTTAAATTTACATTAGAAGTCTTAGAAATCCTAAGAAAATGTTCTGTTTTCTGACTCCTTGAGAAAATTGAGCACACATAAAGAAGCAATGTTAGAATGTGACCACCACCACCACCACCTTACGCTCTTCTTTTTTCATTTCATAAGAGACCGACTGGTGTTATTGCAGATGCCTGAGGTAAATTACATCTCCTACCTCCTCGCTGTGTGAGGAAAACCAGTTCTAAGAATAGTAAAGAATCTTCTAAACCCCTTTTTGAAACCCACCCCACTTTCTATTCGGGTCACAATTGTTGTGATTTAAGCTCACGCACGCACGCAAGCATGTAGAGGTCAAAAAACAACCTAGAACATGTACATGACTCATACAGTACAACAGTATTTACAGTCTGTTCATTTCCCTGTTAGATCTTTTGTTTTTTTTAATACATTTAAACCACAATCAGTGTGCTAGTGGAACAGTGGATAGGGCTTTTGCCTAACAGCAAAAACTCTTCAATCTCTGGTAACAGAGTATCTCTCTGTATGGAGATTGTGTGGCTTCTGTGTGGCTCCCAGGTAGTGCAGTTTCCTCCTATAGTCCAAAAACCGATGGTTAGCTTGACCATGGGGTAATGGGGCGGCACGAGTTAGTGAGGAAATAATCCCAATCCCAGTGTCAATAATCCCAACAGTATGTCTTAATCTCAAATTATATGAAGCTGATTGACAGGAGGTTTTCTGTGTTTGTAACGAACTTTTACTTGGGCATTCACATCAACAATGTCACTTCTCATTTATAGACTGTGCTTACTGGATACTTGATCTCACAAAGATGGAAAATAGTCCGTTTTTCAAAATGTAGGGCAAATCCACACTCAAATGCCCCAGTGTTTAAAATGCAACTTGTCTGATGCTGCTGTTCCACTTCTACTAGTGAACAGTCTACTAGTCGACAGTGAAGGCATCACTGGCCATACTTTACCCTCACTTTTCCCCAGATTTCTTTTGCAGAGTGCACTGTTTTAGAAATTTCAGGCAATTCCTCCTGACAGGAGGTTGTTTGAAGGTCCCTTGTTGTGTACAAACTGCCAAAACCTTAGAAGAACCTTCTTAAAGGATACAACTCCAAAGTGAAAATCACAGCAACACTGTTGCCTTAAAATAACAAAACAATGTTGTTGTCAAGGACCAACAATGTTTGACCTTTTTCTGAAATGATAATACTCCACCGAGGCTAAGCAAAGAAATCGATATTTCTCTACGTTCTACTTTTAGGTTTACTTGAAACACCTGCTCTTGGGCCACACAAACCTGACCTTTTTATTTTAATGCTATAATACACTCACACTTATAATAATATAATAATTACTTGTGCACTATGGTGGATTTAGCCAATAATCTGCTAATTGTTAAACACGGTGCCTGTAATTCTTATATAAAGCAGCAGAACACTTCCTTGAGCATTACGGATGAATCACTTGCAAATGAGTTGCATTACAGGCGTGTTTTATCCTGCTGTTTGTGTGCTGTTTGTGCTGTCTCTGTCTGTGGTGCAGCTTTAATTACTTGGAAGGAAGCAGACAGCTGGTACAGCAGGTTACAGCACCATGATACCTGCACAACTTTCACTGAGCCGATGCTGAGGAGTAGATGCAGTGAAACATCAGGAAAAACTCTCCCCTCTGGAATCTGGGGCAGCGCAACATCCTAAATGTTGTGCTGCGTTTCCACGCTGCGCTAACTATAGGACATAAATGTGCTTTTGCAGAGGCACGGTGAGACAAGAACTGAGAAGGATGTAAAGACTCAAGCATCTGACAAACGGGAGGTGTTTACCATTTCTCTTGCTGCAATATTGATGACTGGAGAATGTTTAATTTAAGGAGGACGTGAATCTTTGGCTTTCGAATGCAGCAACAAACCTTCACGTGTCCACAGGGAATAGCAGGGCTACACTCAAGGACAGACGCCCTAAAATGTAACCCAGTTACAGGGGGTTACTTAGCAGACAAATACTGAACTGATGGCATTTTACAATGTTTTGTACCTCACAGGAAAATAATGGCGACAGATGGTGGCTCTGTGCGGGCCGTGGTGCAGTGTATCCAGATGCAACGTGAAGCACAGTGCAAACATCAGCTGGATGTTTATCAGCTGTGACTGTGTGTGTGTTCATGTGTCCACTTATATGTGGTACACTATGGTCCTATGGCTGAGAGTACACTACAGAAATATAGTCCCAAAAAGAATGAAGTTTTGTGAGTGAAAATTATTTATTTGCTCCGTTGCTCACCACTTGTATTATTCTTGGTTTCTAAAAAAAAAAGTATCTTGAAAACCTTTTGGTTTTGTTTTGCTTTGGACCTGGGCAAGGCTGATGGAGTAGTTGGTTTAAATTGTATGTGCGGTTGTCAGGGAGGTTGACCTGACACTGTCTGTGTGAGTGATATAGAGTGAGTCATTCATCTGTGAAAAAAAAAACTGTGAAGAAAAAACTCTGTCAAGATCTGATTTCTACTGTTGCCTGATGTGCCAAGGATATGTCTGAATAAGCCATTATCAGGTCTGCGCGTATAAATACGCTAACTATACCTAATGTTACTGATGTGGTCGTCTATATTTAGATGATACTATCAGGTATTTCTTATATGTGTTTAAATGAGGCTTTTATTGCACTATTAGCTTTACCTCATGTTCCTACCACAGCACTCGGGCTGCCATGGTGCTGTCAGTGAGAAGAGAGGAAGGTGACAGCATTGATTTGTTGTGTTGATGTTGATGAACAGCTCTTCCTGGCAAAAGGAAGGTTCAGCTTCATGCCAAGCAAATCCAATACATCCAGGCTGTAAGTTAAAGCAGGCAGGCAGCAGGACATGGAACAGTACACGGAAGGCTGGGAATTACCTACAGAACCAGGGGAAGCGATCCATAGCTGTCTTTGGCCCCTGTGAGAAGTAGCCTGATGTGCAGTTTTCACAGGCTATTACACATGCATTATGGTTTTTCACATCAAAACATGTTTTAATTTTCTCATGGTACACCTCGGTCAGTGCCAGACTGATCATTTTTGAATGTTTATAGTGGGTAAAGGATTCAAAAAGCACCAGGTTATTTAACATTGTTATGAAAATCATTCCCAGTTGGTCCACTGTGAAGGGTGTAATACTGTGATAATGAAATTGGTTTTATTTGATCCAACATCCACAGCAGTATGTGTGTGTCCTGACTAACACCAACAGTCAACCAACCACAGCTACAAAACAAATTCTCACTTAATACACCTGCTTTTTTAAATCATAGTCACTAAGCTTGGTGCAATACTGAAGTCTTCACTTCAATTACTCTATTATGCTTAATTTTATGGTTATTATTGTCTGTTATGATAGTATTACAAATGTGTTTGCTTTTTCTCTTCCAGTAATTAATTGACGCCTCAATGGTAATTAGTTCAATATCTTCAGCAAAATCCTATAACGTGAGATCCTATTATTAGTTAGACTTTTATTGGACATGAAGATAATATGTCAATTTGTGAAGTAGAAATTTACAACAAAACACTCAACATAGAGTTGAAATTATGTACATTGAAAATGTAATTTTTCCATTATGATCAAAAGTTTTGAAGGTGAGTGATGTCTCGCATGTGTTGAAGAAATAAAGCTCGGGTAGGGAAGATGCCTCGGGCCTTGAACATTAAATTTAATGAAGTAAAAGCTAAGGAGGAACATGGAGGAGGAGGGGCAATTCTGCTCCGGCTCAAACCAAGGGCTCATTATGAAAGAAGCTATTAATTAAAGTCCAAAATGTCAGATGAAAGAATGAAAACAACCAGTTGTCAATTGTTTGATGCACGAAAGACCATATTAATGTCAAACATAACTGTTTTACAACTATGAGTGGAACTACAGGTTAGACCTCAGGGCAGGGTGCATTCTTAGAGGAGCGCTGAGTCAAGCGGCCCACTGTGGTGGAATGTTGCAGAACTCATATAATTTATAAGAGCATCACAACAGGATGCCAGTACTGTGGCATACCTGCGGCGCGGTCGTGTGTCTGCCGCTCTACTATTTTTGGCCATTTGGTAGCAACCGTGATGGTTTGGACAGTTTCCACCCGGCACTTGTACGATCTGAAGGAAAAACCATCTCCATGAATTATTTATCAGAACCTCGAGTCTCACTGCACTGTCATTTATACAAAGGGCTAAATAAAGGTTCTCATATTCTCATCCTGGTGGATGGAAATGAAAAAATATAAACAAAAGCAAATGTGTAATCTTCTTATGTCACATGAGATACAGACAGAGAGCTTCCTCCTTTACTTTCATAATTATGTGCATTATTCACTGCCATTTTCCCTCCTCTGCACAAATGCAAAGTAGGCAACCACCCCCGAGCAAACACTTACAATGTAGTTTTAAGGCATTGTATAAAAAGCCACGACTTTCTCTGACTTTATATTTCATATAAAGACCGTCTAAGCAGAGTGTTTCAAAAGGCGAGTAATTAGAGATTACAAAGTGATCTCAATTCAAGGCAGTGGAGTCGTCGGAGGGCGTGGTACTGCACTGTACAAACGTACATGCATCTGCTGCTCAAGGGCAGTGAATCTCTTTGGCCTTATTTCCACACAAGTTGTTGTAAAGTGTGCAGGAGATAATCAAAGAAAACATGATAGACAAAAAGATGAGATCAAGGCAGCAAGAACAGAAACCAACGGGGAGGAAATTGTGAGCAGGGATTTTATTTGTACAGCTTTTAAAAGTGCTTTCATACAGAGCAGAGCTTTCTGTAGACGGGGAACTGACATAAGACTAGTCTGCAAAAAGGGAACCAAACTCCTTAGTCAGTCAGATTAACAGCTCACCTACTCTGGCTGCACTCCACAGCTGTGACTCAAGATTTTGGATTAACTGTCAAGAATCGAGTGACTGACTTTGGAATCTGTGAAACCACTTTGTCCGTTCCGTGTATATTTAGAAACTCTATAAAGAAATGCTGCCACAATAAAGGCTCCAGACTGAGACTTGATTTGCACTCCTGATCAGTGAAGAGCTGTTTGAATGGAGGCTTATTTCAGGTTTACTGTTGCTCATCAGCACTGAAGAACATTCAATTAGTCGGTGAGAGTGGTCGTCCAAACGGCTGCTCCTGACATTCATCTGAGTCATACAGAAAAAAGGGAATTAAAGAAACGTAGATCTGTGGATCAGTGGAACCTGGAGATACGAGCATAATCCGTTCCAGGACTGAGCTCGGAACTCAAGGTGCTCGTATCTCAAATCATTTTTTTCCATAAGAAATAGCAGAGAAAAAATTAATTAGTTCCGGCCCTCTAAAAAACTTCCTTACATTATAGTATATGAGTATTCCTGTGATATAAAATAAAATGTGCTTTCAATTATGAGTTCTTACCTTCGAGACAGACGATACAGTAGCGGCTAATGGGGGGGGGGGGGGGGGGGGGGGGGGGGGGGGGGGGAGTTTCCAGAAGTTTAATAGATGCACAAGATCCTTTGTCTCAATTATAAAACATCCTTGGAATCACAAACTGCATTCCATGTCATATTCACCTCGACTAACATCTGGTCTCATCAATCATTTGCTCAGACACACCTGACACCTGACCTGTCTCTTTTTTAAACTCATGCTGTCTTCTGTGACATTAATATGACGTGGGTTCTTTTTCTAAACTAACTGGTGAAATAATCCATCCTGAATGTTTTGTGGCAACCTTAAATATTCCAACGATAACTGTGACAAACTGCAGAGATATAAATATGGTGCCAGAAAATCACCACACTTGATTCACCCTGGCAGACTTGACTAATGTTTTTAAAACCCGTATCAAACCGCTCCAGTTTGTCTTCAAGACTCTTTGCAATGACCCTGTTATTTGATTCAATTTCACTGTAACATTTTTTTTGTGTCTAAATCCAAATCTAAACAATGTGAGCCCTTTTAAGTCAATCCGTTGCATTCAGGAACATACTATTACACACACTTGCTCAGCATGAAAGCAATTTGAAAATACTACTAAATAATTCAGTCCCTAGCTGTGTGTGGTTTACTGTCCAAATCTGACATCTATGCCTTGTGTGTGTGTGTGTGTGTGTTCGCAGGTGTGTGCCGTCGTCACTCTCCTTCCGTCGGTCTCTTTGGGAGAACTGACATGTGAAGCTCTGCTCACACTGACGGGGAATTTCTCATGTGAGTCCAGCACCAGGCCAACACACACACACGTGTGGTCGTCTCTGGCCACTGGAGTGGAGGGTTGGGGAGATTTCACATTTCCAGATGATCCTGCCCTCAACCCTATCTTTGTAGTCGTGGATATTGTCAAACTGTCATTACCTTATTATTCATTATCACGCAGGGCTACGTGAGGGCAGTGCTAAACAGTTAATAAATACGTTGGGCTTCAACACATGCCTAGTAAAAACATACACACTTAATTATGTGCCTTGTGTGTAAAAAGACGTCTCAGCTGCCTTATAAATAACGTCTCTGCTGATTGCTAGTGTGGTTACACTGTACACTACATAAATGTTCAAATGTTTTCTTCTTCTTTCAAGAATCCACATCAAGGTAAGTGTGTTTTTATTCTGGTAGGTTTGATGACACAGAGCCAAATTAATTTAAATGGGACCGACATTGTCTGCCTTATTCTGTTTTGGCTAAATTAGTTAACTAGCAGCTCTGTGGTAAAGAATGAACGACGTGGCTGTAGTCAGGGAAACATAGAGAGTCGGGTCAAAAGAGAAGCTTTACTGACGGCTGGAGGCAGGACACAAACAGCTGTGTCCAGAGTCAAAGCCGGGTCTGTGGTTCTAAAACAACACCCATCTGTCTTGGTGTTCCACAGTTCTCACAGCGCCGTCAGGAAGCAGTCCATTTACTGCCATGTCCTTTGTGGTTGTTTTAACAAACCACTGCTGCTTTCTCATCTTAAGGGGGAAAAGACGTTGGTTTTTTGGGGGGTTTTTTCCTACAATTTTATCACAACAAAGGTGTGAAAATGCTGGTTTAAATACAGAGCAAACACATTAACATCAAGTGTGGTCTCCTGCCCTGCAGAGCATCCTCATTTCCTGGTGTGTTTTTTTTCTTCATCTCAATCCTCTAGAGTTGTTTGAGGATTAATTGCCTGACCCTGAGAGCATGTCCACATTATGGACAGCTCCATCAGGTGATTTCTCCAGTATGAGGTCTGTACCACAGCCCCTCACTGCCCAATCCATGCCCTCTCCTCAATGAGCTGAATCTAATGAGATGTTCATGGCATTTTCTAAAATTCTGCAGACACAGATTGAAGTGACTGATGAAAGTGGAGGTCCTGCTCATTCTCTCTCTCTCTCTCTCTCTGGATTACAGTACAGTCCCTGGCTGCCACTTGGAACCAGACCCTTAATAATGCCACAGGTCAGTGGAGCGGTGAGTTGAGCATCTTTCTCTTTTCATTTGGGTGAAAAACTGATTCCCAGTCCAACACTACAAAGCGGTGCGGCTGTGGAATACCCCCACAAGGGGGGGATTTGATGTGAACCCAGATTGTAGGGCCTAACATCAAAGAGGAGAACAATGCTGGAAATAGACTTGGCTTGGTGCCACAGGAGACAGTGTTCAGTCTGTAACAGAGCACAGCAAAGGGCTGGAGCAATCATTAAGGAGGTGTGTACACAAACAAGGTGTTCAGTCGCACAATTTACGGCCAGGATCGTAGCGACATTATGGGAATACCAACATGTCTATATGTAGTGCTGAGCCAAGTCAGGAATGTGTTGGTCTGACGTTCCTTCCTCTTTACTCTTCAGGTTCGGGACCCTACTGTGACATTTCGATCGATGGCATCGGCACCTGCTGGCCGAGGAGCGGTGCCGGCCAGATGGTGTCAAGACCCTGTCCGGAAATCCTGAACGGTGTCAAATACAACACTACAAGTAGGTCCACACTGTCAGCCCCCGGCGAACACAGAGCTGAGACAATACATTATGAAGGAAAGGCTTCATTTGATTTTCTCATCCCACTCTCCCCATAGACCCCCCTGGGTATTTCTTGTTTACATAATTGTGCATAAAGAAATTTAGATGAGCAGCAGGGAAGTACACAGGGAAAGTGTGGACTCTCCAGAACTAGGACTGCTGAAGATGCTTTTACACAGAGAGAAAGCCAGGAATATACAGTGGGATTATGATGTATTGAGGGCAACATAATTAGTGGCTTCACCAGGGTGTAGAAATTGAGCAAAGACTGATCCAAAATTGCTAAATGTTGCTAAAATTAAAGTCTTCCATATTGATAGAGTCCTAGAAGTTAAAGAAACAAGGATAAAAACACAGCTGAACCTGTTCTGTAAGTAACACAAAATGATCCCCAGTCGTTTTGTGTGTCCTCTGTGAAGTCGAGTTAACTAAATGATGGTGTTTGAACTAAGTTGGTGAAACAAGACAGGATGGAATCACAAAAAGGAAGCCTTTGAAGTCTGCTGAACTATAGAATCTTTAAATGAATGCAACGCCCATCTTTCATCTGAAAAGAGAAAACAGTTATTACACTTATTACAAGTCTTCACAACCGTGAGTCCCAACGTTTTGACCTAGCTGCAGATAACATCGCTGTATTTAATTGCAGGCTCTGTATCCATGTTTGTATGCTTCAGATTACTGCTCTTAGGACAAATCATTCTCAAAGTTCTCTGTTCAGCAGTTTCTGTCACCAACATATAACATACATAACAAAAAGGAACAGAACACACTGCACTGCAAGGAAGTAAAAAAAAGTCTGTTTTGAGGAGACAGCCTTTGGGACCAGGAATGTTCTCGTTTCTGTAAGCCTGGTTGTGCCTACGGAAGAATAATCTAACATTTAAAAACCACAGCTAACCTATTAGATAATCCAGCCTATTTAGAGGGTGTTTTTACCTGGGTAAAGAAGTTTTTTGTCACATACACCGTACATATTTTTGGATCTTTGTCATTTTAGCCAAAAAAACTTTTACTTATTTTAAGAAATATTGTCAACTGAAATAGCCTTTCTTAATTCAATATATTTCCTGATTAAAGTAGAGCCGTTCTGTTCAGCATCCGTAAATCAGTCTAAAAAGTAAAAAAAAAAAAAAAAAATCTTCAATTGAGTCCTGATACACTTACTGCAAGACTTTAGGAATGGATGTGTCAATTAGAGCCAAATGTATTAATATTCTGTGCACATTTCCATGGTCAAATATATTAAAGTTCTTTTTCCTACAGCTGTGAACTTCTCATGTAGCACAGTCTTCAGTTTACACTTGGGTTGCCCCATGTGCGTTTGCTAATTTTAGCCTTTGCTTCAAACCAGTGTCAGAAGCAGTGAATCACAGCAGGTATATATAGCTGTGGTTATAGCTGTCACTCCATACACAATGGCAGTACCAGAGTTATGTTTGGTAAAACGTCTTAAAGTTTGAAATCTTCCTTGTTTTTACTGTGACTTAACCTAATAATCAGGGTCCAAAATTGACATATACAGACCTAATTAAATGTGTTATGGCCTGAATAATGAAGCATAACATCGTGATATATAGAAAAATATGTTCTTAATTTGCTGTTTTTTATACCTCTGGTCTGTGAGTGAAGATTACACTGCCTCTTATATGATCAAAATTGACAAAAAATGACCTGCTGCCCAGTTGATTGAAGAGTTTTGCCTGTTCCAATTACTTTCTTCCGAAAACAATCACTGAACACCAAAGTGTGGACTAGGAGAAGAGTAAAGGCTGAGCCCTTGGTGGTTATGTGTTTAATATTGAAGAGAAATACCCTGCTGTAAAAGTTTGTCTTCTCTGGGATGAATCCGCTCCTACTTTATTATGAGTCAACATCTCTTTTATTGCTTGGTTAAAAATTAAAATACAATTTGCAGTTGAATATATTCTGTTCAGCCATGTCTCCTCTCTCAATTGGAAGTCAGTTTGCTTGTCTACATCCATGTATTCATTCATGAAGGTGAGCCTTCATAACTTTGGTTCATTACAGCCGTGGTGGAAACTGCTGGAAAACCCTGAAAATATGGGTTCAATCTGACAGTGGCAAGGACATTTACTGTATCTTTACTCCAAAGAGTTAACTGTAAAATTACTAGAGTGTACACTTGTCTCATCACTTCTGCAAAGCTGTATTATTAGTTTGAATTATTTTTATTTAGATTTACTGAATCCTTAAATGAGTTGGTGTTATTTCTGATCATGTTGGTGTTATTTCTGACCATGTTGGTGTTATTTCTGATCATGTTGGTGTTATTTCTGACCATGTTGGTGTTATTTCTGATCATGTTGGTGTTATTTCTGACCATGTTGGTGTTATTTCTGATCATGTTGGTGTTATTTCTGACCATGTTGGTGTTATTTCTGATCATGTTGGTGTTATTTCTGACCATGTTGGTGTTATTTCTGATCATGTTGGTGTTATTTCTGACCATGTTGGTGTTATTTGAGTTAAGTTAACACGTCTGATAAGCTGATGCACTTCTGCTAATGTGTTAAAGATTAATCCGTCATTTTCAGTAAACTATTGTGACCCCTTTTTCATATTACAATATTTTTTAGAATATAATGAAATTAAATTTGCTAATACATATTCTCAAAAGTAATTTAACTTACTTGAGGTGAGTCCAGTTGCCTACTTTAAATTGCTTTTAAGATTATTATGATGACCTGGATGACTGAGAATATCCACAAACATGTTTCACTAATACATAAGTGACTATAAGATAGTCAACAACGCACCAAGCTGTGAATTAAATAGAATGAATAGTAATCAGCCCCAGAGCTTTTACTGTTAACTGTGTATATAGAGTACAGATACTACAAAATGTACTTGTTTTCCAGTCCGGATTCTACCCTAATATACATACACTACTGCATGTGATGTGTATCTGGGACACCGCAGTACTCTGAAGCTAACAAAACCAGTACCCAGGGGTATACAGTAAACACATTTAAATACATCTATTAGATTTAAGCTCATTAGCTTCTCCCAAACCACAGGAGCAGTAGCATCATAAAGGAAGTAGGAAAAAAAATCACTAATTGTTTGACATTGCACGGTTAAACCAAAACTAATTCCATCTGAATCTGATGGCTTTAAGCTAACCCCCAGTGAGCTAACCCCCACAGTGAATGGACTGGTTTCAGAAAACAAGTCGGTACCATTTTAACTACATAAATGTGTTAAGATGAATTTTCATTGCGAAATGCACATTTGATGTGCGTGGGTAGTGAGTCATGCATGACAAATGAAGCGTTACCACTTTGGCTGTCAGGTGTATTAACGCGGCATTATAATTAGTTGTTGTGTGATAGATTTTTTTTGTCATGTGTGAAGCCTACACAGTACGTTCAGGAAAGGTAGCTTAGGAATTAGTAACACCTGAGCTTTCATTACAGGTCTGGTTCATACAACCCTTTTGGTCGGCTGTTTTTTGTGTTTAAGAAGATAAATCTGAATTAGATTCAAACTCACAGTTTAAATTCAGGCTTTATTTTCATCACCTGCTCTTGACAGCTACAGCTTGTTAAAGTGAAGGGAACGTAATGCGGTAGCGAGGCAGTGGGAGCTTCCTGTAGAAAAATGTCACTCTGCACACAAACAGTCAGGATGTGTCGCAGAAATCGTAGCGAGCAGCAGCAGGTGAGGCTGCTCCACATTTCACAGGTTGACATTTCTCAACCACTGTTGGACGGGCTGCTTTCAAGTTTGGTTCTGTTTCTGCCTCAGGATGAGCCCGAGGTTTATCCATCTCTCCACTTTTAATAGCTCACACTTCTCATGTTTAGGCGGCCCTTTGCATAAAAACTCCAGTAAAAGTGATTCATCTCACTTTTAGAGTTAGATGGAAAAGCATGTATGATTTGTTATGGGTTTTCTTCAGCCCAATGCTTGGTTTATTGTTTGTCACCCTGTTTCTATTTTCATCACCAGGCAGTCCAGTGACGCCCAGAAGATGAGTAATACTCTCATTTTTGTGCAACCTCCAAAAGTTTAAAAGTTGCTGCCTGAGCTTGGGAGACATTGTTGAAGATCAGTACCCACTGGAACCTTAGATCCAGTTTGTTGGACTGTACTCTGTTGGATTTCACAAAAGTTCAAGTTAAATCTGGGCCATACAGTGGTACAGAGGTCAGGGTTCCGGCCTTGGTTAACCATTTTGCTGCTAATTTGACTACTATTTTAAGAAATCTAGTCAATATTTCCAAATTGTTTTTTAATTTTATATAGACTTTTGAGTTATAATTGCTTAGGGACCTTGTTCTTTTGCCTTAGCTCACACACTTTTTGCAGTCTTTTTTGCTGCAGGTTGTATGTTCTGATAGTAATTCCAGTGCTGAATATGTACTTAAAGTAGTATTGATTGTATGGCAGTGGTTTAAGGACAGAGCTAAGTGTCCTAAGGTGAGGACAGGTGCAGAGCACAGGGTCTGGAGTGTGCACTTAGGAGCTTTTGTAGCTGTATCTTCTGGCCTCAGACCCAGAGGGAGATTACTGCAGGGTTCAGGTAGACAAGTACAACATTTGGTTTGTCAGCTGCACATCTGAAGAAAGAAATGTAAAAACTATAGTCAAGGAAATGGATCTAAACTCTGAACAGCGGAGTCAACAGCATACTGTACAAAATGGCTGTTGGTATCAGTTAAAATTATATTGAATAATTACCAAAATAATATCTATATTGTCTATATGGTCACAAATATGCATATACACACAAATATTTAAATATATACACATGTGCACATCTACTGTATATGTATAGACACACACACACACACACACAGAGCTGTCGTGTCGTTCTGTGTGTCTGCCACAGGGTTGTGTGTCATTGTTTTTCCGGTTTGTTCAAGAACACATTTGCATGTGCACTTATTGTCAGTGAGTTTTCCGTATGTGCCTGACCTCCTTTGAATGTG